CCGAATTTAATATTATTCTTAATACGGTACTGATTAACGTAACAAACATAAAGTCAACAAACTTTTAGGGAAAAAAAAAAATTTTATCATTAAACGCGAATGAATTTTTTTTTTTTTTTTTCCTGAAAAGAGTGTGATAATGAGTGAAAGAGTTCAGCTACCTAGATTCGTCCCTGATATAAATAACATAATTGAATGGTATACTAAATTAGTCACTTTGGCTGCTATGTGATAATAAAACAGAATGACTGACTAATAATAATAATAATAATAATGGCAGATGTTGAAATTTAATATAGGTACATTTAAAAAATTTGCTTAAAATTATTGTTAATATAAAGAGATTAAAGACAATCTTGTCAAGGTTTTTGACAGATAAAAAAACCGTTTATTATGCTGAATTTAATTTTTTTTATTTTTTTTTCAGGTTTTAAATGTAAAACCTTCGAACCTGGACACGAAATTAAATAAAAAAAAAAAAATGAATGATAATGATGATGAATGGATGGATGGATGGATCGATGGATCGATAAGGTAATGTAAAAATTATTATTATTATTATTATTAATAGAAAAAAGGGGAAAAAATTATATATCGATCACATATCGGTAATTATGTTACATCAAAAATGTCATAAGAGAGAGAGAGAGAGAGAGAGAAAATAATTTATTATAGAAACCAAAAAGGAAATAATGTGTAAAATTTGCATTAAGATTGCATGACGATTTCTCTCTCTCTCTCTCTTTCTTTTTAAATTCCAGACGTTTTCAAATTGCGTTGGTCACTTATTACAAAAGAAAATGGGCCAAAAGGTGACCCCGAAAACGTTTTTTTATTTATTATTATTATTATTTTCCCCTTTTTAAAAATTTTTTTTTTTCAAATTTAAATTACGATTCCTTTGGCAACAACGGCAAATTTTTTTTTTTACCAGAACATTCTATGATGGAAAATATTTTCCTTTTTTTGGGGTCAATAAGACAATTTAAGAACAAAACGGTTGATGAATAAATTAATTATGGCGTCGCCCTCAAAAAAAATTTTTTTTTTTTTTTTATTTATTTATTTTAAAATTTCTTATTACGGTACTGTAATACTGAAAAACCTTTTTTTTTTTTTATGATCCATTGTAGGAAAACACGAGAACGATATTAATTATTGCCACATAAAATTTTCCCTGTTAAATCACGAGTTTTGTAAAATTATGCTTTTGGATTTACTGGAATTAATACATATATATCATAGAGGGTTAAAATATCCAGAAAATAGGGGATGTTTAAAATGGCAGGATTTTAAAAATTGTTTTTTGCATCCCTTAAAAATAATTTATTTTTACCCGATGTTATTATACCTCCGCGTAAAACAATAATAATAATAATTAGTATTTAAAAATGATGTATAACGAAAGCACCTGCCTTTTAAATTATGGAAAATTTTTTGGACGCTGGAAAAAGAAAGAAAGAAAGAAAGAAAATTCTATTATTTTTCTGGAAGAATTTAAAACCTGCATTCAGGTGTGTTCTGCGTGTCGAGTAATAACGAAATAAAGATCGAAAGAAGATAAAAAAAAAAAAAGGATGGGTATAGGATCGAACCGTGGGGGAAGGGGGGGTGACGGTGTGAAAATCACGTGACTATCAGACGTTCGGTGGTGGTAAGAACGAACGCCACGATGACGAGATTAAAAAGATATCGATTTTAACACTAAAAATACAAAAAAAAAAATTAAGCAGAAGAAAAAGAGAAGAAGAAAAACAACAACAAGTAAAAGAATTCTATCTCTATACATTTGAACTCTCACGTTCTAATCTACAAATAAATAAATAAAACGTCTTCTGCTTTTTACCTCGCCATAGAGATGAAAAATAATTATTTATAAAATAATAATAATAATGATAATTTTTTTGTTGTTGTTGTTGCCATTCCTCTTTCCCTATTCTTTGAATATTATTATCCCATCGTACGTATTCACCCTTAACCATCGGAATCGAACTAAAGTTAACCCTTAGCATTTTCCCCCTTGATTATTTTATTAATAATAATGAAAACGTTTTTTTTTTTAATTTTTAACCGTGGCCAGGGGGGGGGGTGACAGTTTAGATGAGAAAAAAGGAAATCATCTTAAAAAAAAAAAAAAAAAAAAGATTTTTTTGTATAAATCCATAGATTTGAACCGTGCACACACACTAAAGCGCATGTATCTCATTCTGCGTCGCATCAAGCCGCAGTACATTCGCATCAGTCTTAAACGGTATGCACGGTCTATAGAAAACACAAAACACATAAAAAAACACACACAAAAAAAAAAGAAAAGAAAAGAAGAAAATTGTTTTATGTACATACATAAATACATAACGAAACGTTAATAAATAAATAAATAAATAAATAATAATTGATAAGAGTTTGTTAGTTAATATTTAAGTGATAAAACACAAACCGTATTAATAATAATAATAATAATAATAATAATATTAATTAATTTAATAAGTAAGTCTTGGAAAAAAAATTATTATTATTTTTTTTTTTTTTGGCTTATTCTATTGGCATGCACA